TGTAGTCATTTAGTAGAAAGCTCGATTTAATGACCTAGGATCACTTGGAAATGTTGATGTCCCTCGGTTCTTTGTGTGTTGGTTCGAGTGATAGAGACCCCGGTTGACCTAAAGCTCTCATCTTTGTTTTTAAGTATACATTTGCTTTCGATTTCCAATTACGAGTAGTGTTTAATTCAAACCCCCTCAATTTGCGAGTAGAATGTTTAGGACCTTTTTGGTTGTGTGACTTTGACGACTAGGTAGTGAACGAAGCTCCGAAGAGCTTTCCTTTGAGAACGACCCGAGTCGGGTAGCTCGGTTACCACATGCCCAAATTTATACCAAACAGAAATCAGGATTTAAAAGATTTTGTTCAGTTGTTGTGCCAAAATGGAAGATTCCTTGTAGAAAAATGGTGGTGAAACATTTTTTGAGCATGTATAATACCAAAAGAGAGTGTTTGAAAGATGACCTTAGGAGTCATTGTGTTAGTTTGACCACTGCTACATGGACTTTGATTCAAAACATAAATTACATGGTCATTACAACACATTTCCTTGATAGCAATTGGCATATGCACAAGAGGGCGCTGAATTTCTATGTGATTCCTATCATCAAGAAATTACTATACGGAAGATTTTAGAAAAATGTTTGCAGGATTGGTCTATGAAGAAAAATTTTAACAACTTCTGTTTATAATGCATCTGCAAATAAAGTGGCAATAGATTACATCAGAAAGAAACTACGCAATGGTGAAAGACAATTGATTCTAGGGTGAAAGTTTCTTCATATGAGGTGCTTAGCTCATGTTGTCAATCTTATTGTCAAATCTGGACTTAAATGCATGGATAAGTCAATTGCTTCTATTAGAAATGATGTAAAATATATTAGGAGCTCACCTTCAAGGTTGAAAGCATTTAAGGAATGTGTAAAAAAAGAAGAACTTCAGAGTAGAAAGATGTGTGTTTTGGATGTGCCAACTAGGTGGAATTCCACTTTTATTATGCTTGAAATTGTTGTTGAACTTAGGCAAGCATTTGATAGATTGGCTGAAGAAGAGGACACTAAGTATAAAAGTTATTTTGATGAGGATGATGAGGAAAATGAGGAAGAAGGAGAATATGTGGGGAGAGGGAAGAAAGTGGGGCCTCAAACAGATGATGATTGGGAAAAAGTTAGTTGCATTTGTCAAGTTTTGGAGAGAGTTTTTTTATGTTACATTGAATGTTATTGCTTCAAGCAAACCTACTGCTCACAAAGCATTCCATGATATTGTTTCAATTAAATGTGAGATTGAAGAGATTTGTAACGCCCCACTTTTATTTGCCAAAAATAAGAATAAATTTTTCGAATTTATTTCAAAAACACTTGAGTCGCTACTCATTTTCAAAATGAACATCAATACTTAACCAACTTTCCAATACTCAGTCATCAATATTCAGTCATTTATCAATACTCAATATCCAACAAATAAACCTCAATAATCCAATAATCCTCGGGAAAACATTCCCTATTAATAATCCAATAATCAATAAAGCAATAATAGCAATAATTCAGTTCAAGGCGGAAGCAAAAACATTTATTATGATCACCACTCGCTTCCCTCCGACGTGCCCGCAACACTAACCTGCATCCATGAAGAGCAGGTGGGGATAAGCATAATAGGAAAATCGAGGTGCTCACCACTATGCAATAATTAACATCAATAATCATGAAAGCAATTTTAAGTATGGTCGCAGCATGTATACGAATCAATAATCGTCCCATCCACTATGAATAATCAATAATCGCCTCATGTGCACACATATAGAAATAGACCATTGCCGAGATATATACCGAACGCCTTATCTAAGGCCTTACAACTAGGGCTGTAAACGACTCGAACAGCTCGCGAGCAGCTCGAGCAGATCGAGTCCACTGTCGAGCCGATCTCGAGCCCCAGTTTTAAAGCATTGAGTTGCTCGTCGAGCAACTTGATTTAATCTAATTTACATAAATAGCCCTTGTATGTCTATAGTTGGTCTTCTTACTAAATAGTAAATAGTCTAGATGTCGAGCAACTCGATTTAATTTAATTTACATAAATAGCCCTTGTATGTCTATAGTTGGTCTTCTTACTAAATAGTAAATAGTCTAGACTTGTAAGGTGCAAATAACCATTTCACAGTAATTTACCTTATTTTCAATCCATATTTTCCAATCAATTTAGTTCAAGTTTCAACAATCACATTATTTAATCAAATTATTCAACTCATTTGTCTAAAATCTAATAAATTCTTCATCTTGTTCTTCTCTTCATCCCCTAAAATAAAAAGGAGTTTTATCAATACAAGGCCTGAAAGATGGGTAAACTATCAATGCGGGGCCTGAAAGATTTTTTTTTCTCAATTCGGGACCTAAATGTTATAAAACTATCAAATTAAAGACCCAAAAGATGGGTAAACTATCAATACGGGGCCTGAAAGATTATTTTTCTCAATTCGGGACTTAAATGTTATAAAACTATCAAATTAAGTGTACAATTAAAAAAATTCATAACACAATTAAATCTAGAGTTTAAAAAACATAATATTTAATTATTATATTTTATTTTCATATTCATTCACATTTTTTAAAATTTTACATTCTTCCATCAATTTTTCTAGTCTTTAACTCACCTTTTCATTTAAACATTTTTACATAATTTATAACCACTCGTACTCTTGAGTGTTTATAATATTATTATCTCACAAATATTTGTATTTGTTGTTAAAAAGAATAAAAAAATAATTATATTAAGTAAATAATTAATATGATTTTATATTTAAATTGACTATTATGCTTATTGAAATTTCATTCATATGCATTGATAGTTTAAAAATGTGAATGAATATAAAATAAAATCTAATAATTAAATATTACTTAAAAAAAAAAATTAATCACCAATCTTTTGTTTGTTTTTTTTTTTTTATTTTAACTCTAAATTTAATGGTGTTTTGAGTTTTGTTAATTCTAGACTTAATTTGATAATTTTATAACATTTAAGTCCTGAATTGAGAAAAAAAATCTTTCAGGCCCCGCATTGATAGTTTACCCATCTTTCGGGTCCTTAATTTGATAGTTTTATAACATTTAGGTCCTGAATTGAGAAAAAAAATCTTTCAGGCCCCGCATTGATAGTTTATCCATCTTTCAGGCCTTGTATTGATAAAACTCCAAATAAAAACCTTATCCCCGACCGAGTCCCGACATCTTCTCCGTCCATACTCTGTCGCCACTCGCCATCGTCATCGGTGCTCACACCGCTAAGTTAGTCGGCATAGCATTATTTAACTCAATTCTTAATCCCGCATTCCCGCTCTCGCAATCACAGATCACAACCCCTAAAATAAAAAAAAAAATCGTCTGCCATTTTTCTATTTGTACTCTCTCGCAGTCGCCATTGATGGGTGCTCAACCTCGTTACTATCGTACAAAGACCTCGCAGTTGGTGCTTAACCCATAACTCCACGCCGCAAAGCTCCAAGAATGCAAGTTTCTGCTTCTTAAATGTTAAAAAATCTTGGATTCGTGATTTGGGTTTGATAGTGAACATTAGTGATTTACTATTGTATTTGAAATTGAAGTTCTCAAACATCTTTTAAGTTGGAATTTTTTAGATTGATTGTTTAATTGGACTGCAAATTTATGTAGGATTTTGGTGATTTGGGTTTTATATACCTTAATAATGTATTTATATTAGGCTACAAATTTATGTAGATGAAATGCAATTAAATGGGAAAGAATAGGATGAAATGCAAATTTAAAATGGGGAAAGATTAGGATGAAATGCAAATTTTAACTTTAGTTTTAATTTCTTTGATTGCTTCAAAGGATCAGTGAGACTAAGGTTGTTTCACTTCAGTCTTTTAACTGCTCCTTTGGATCATTTAGCTGCTACAAATTTTGTTTCTGTTTTGTTTGGTTTTATTTGAGGCTTATAACATTTAATCTTTTTTCTTATTACTTTTTAGTTTCTGGTTTTCTGGAGGGGAAACAAGGTTCTAAATATGCTCATGTTTTGATTACCAATGGCTTATTGTTTTACTATTGATTGACAAAAATAATATAAATCATCTCAAACTTATTTACTTTTGTATGTGGCTACAGACTACATAAAGGATGACGTCTCCCTCTCCTCAAGAAATATCTTTACGTAACATTAGATCAGGTGGAGATTCTGCTAGCCCAATGGATATCAACAATGAAGTTGAGAATGAGGCAGAAAAATTCCCTTCTTTTGGAGATGAAGAGTTAGGCAGTGAAAATGAGGCCGAGGCCGAGGAGCTCGGGCAAGACCCGGATGAAATGGCTGATTACGTGGACACTCTATATCCATTCAGAAAAAAGGATAGGGCAAAAAAATCATTAGCCTGGAATGATTTCGAGGAAGTAGTCGAAGGTACCGATAAATACTGTAAGTGCAAACATTGCTTGGTCAAACTGAAGAGAACCAAGACGAGCACAACAACTAGTATGCTAAGGCACCGGATTACATGCACCGCGAGATTGATAAAACAGAAGCAAGTGCAACAACAAAAGATTAATTTTCCAGTAGTCGATTCAAGCACGCCTCATCCATATCTTCATTCTGGTAAATTTGACATGGCTGCCATGAGAGAATCTGCTACCGAATTGGTACTGATGCATGAGAATCCTTTTTCAATTGTCGAGGAAGATGGATTCAACATGATGCTGAAAAGAGGAATACCCGAATGGAAAAATATCAGTCGAACCACAAACAGAAATAATTGCAAAGCGATATACGAGAGAGAGCAGTCCAAACTAAATAATTTGTTCAAGAAAGTCAAGAATATCAGCCTGACCACAGATCTTTGGAAGTTAAAAAATCAGAAGATTGAATATATGGTGATAACTGGTCATTGGATCGACAACCAATGGAGATTGCAAAAACGAGTCCTCAACTTTGTACATATTCCCCCTCCACGTCGCGGTGTCCAAATTACAGATTCTATTTTCAAATGCTTGAAAGAGTGGGGCATTGAGAGTAAAATCTTTACTGTCTCTGTGGATAACACCTCAAACAATGACACCGCATTAAGAGCCTTGAAGGAGATCTTTTCGACAAACAAGTGTCTGTTGGCAAATGGGGATTTATTTCACGTACGATGTTGTGAGCACATAATCAATTAAATGGTCCAAGATGGAATTGGTGAAATCAAGGATATTGTGGATGTGATAAGGAGTAGCGTGGATTTCATAAATAAAACAGACAGGCATCGTCTCATGTTTGTTGATATTGTCTAGTACCTTCAATTACCAAGAAAGGTGGTGTTATATGATTGCAAGACAAGATGGCATTCAACCTTTGAGATGTTGTCTTGTGCACTCAAGTATAGAGATGTTTTCCCTAGGTTTCGTGATAGAGAGTCAAATTTCGAAAAATGTCCAACCGTCGAGGATTGGGATAAAGTGGAGAAGGCATGTAATATTCTGCAAGTTTTTTGGACAGCTACTCATGTGATATCCGGTAGTGATTATCCTACAGCTAATTTATATTTAAATGAAGTTTGTCGGATAAAAGGGCTACTCGATAGTAAAGCTGATGATGAAGATATTTTTGTTAAGTCAATGGTTCGAAAGATAAAAATGAAGTTCAATAAATATTGGGGTGAGTGCAATTTGTTAATGTCCATAGCAACAATCTTGGATCCGAGGTGCAAAATGAAGGTCATAAGTTATTGTTTTCCACTTATGTATCCTTCTTACGAAGTGGAACTCAACATAAGCAAAGTTTGGTAGGCATTGTATGCGCTATATGATGAATATGTGGAGATGTATAATGCTGGTTCAAACGGTCAAAGGGTTACTCAAAATCCTCCCAACACGAACACCGGTCCATCAGTAGCACCATTTTCAGGAATGAGTGAATTTCTCTTGAGTGTTGAAGCCAGTGAGAGTGTTCAACCAGAAAAGAATGAACTGGATTTGTAATTTGAGGTTGGTCTACTTACTGCCAAAGAGGACTCAACTGTGAATATTTTGAATTTGGATGCGCTCAAGTGGTGGAAAGACACGACAAAGTAAAAGATATTGCCTAAGATGGCTGCTGATATTTTAGCCATCCCTATCAGCATGGTTGCTTCAGAAGCTACATTCAATACCGGAACTAGAGTGATTGATGCATATCGTTCCTCCTTGGCACCGGCAACTGTTGAGATGGTGATGTGCGTTGGTGATTGGTGTCGTAAGCTACATGGTATCAAGACGAAAGACAAGCTAAACACACTAAAAATTTAAGAACATGATTCCATATCAATAATGCTTAACCATTCTTTTATTCTGAATTTTTTTTCTTTTTTTATGTGTTTATAGAAAGCGAAGTCGTCTTAAGAAATCTTATTACCTATTCCTTGAAGGTTATCATTTCTAATGTTCAATTTATAAACTTTCATATACTTTTTTGATTTGGATATAATGTGTGTGTGTCATTCTTATTATATTTCTGATGCTCGAATATTTCTAGGTTGGACCTCATTTTTGGGTGCTGGACCTCATTTTTGGGTGTTGGACTTCTACAGGCTGAAATAGAAGATCTCGAATACGATTTTTTTTTTTTTTTGGTTTTATCACTAAGCTCGAGCTACATTCTTAAAGAACAATGAAGTCTAATGTTTTTTGTCATTTTGGAAGTTCCAACTTCTAAGTTTTTGATGTGTTTAACTTGTTGGGATAATTTGTATTTAAGAAGACAAGATGCTTTCTTATTTGTGTAGACATGCTGAACATTTGTTTTTATCTTGATTGTGAATTTTGTCATATTTTTAACTCTTGGACATTGTTGGTTATTGTTGGTTGTACTCAATATATTTTGAAGTAAACCTGTAATTTTGAGCAGTTGTTCGAGTCGAACTCGAGCTTTTGTTCGAGTCGAACTCGAGCAATTTTTTAGCGTTGAGAACTTGATCTGTCTCGAGCCAAGCTCAAGCAATCTTGTTCCTCTGTCGAGTCGAGTCGAGCCTCATAAATCATGGCTCGACGAGCTCGAGCTCGAGCAATGCAAATAAAAATTCGATCCCTGCTCGATAAGGTCAATGCTCGACTCGGCTCGGTTCATTTGCAGCCCTACTTAATATTTTTAAAATAGGACTCGAAAAATTAATTTGGAGTTCTCGGCACATAAAATAATTTTCTCAAATTTTTCTCATTTCACAAATATTTTAAAATTGAAATTAGTATTAAAAATGAACATCAGAAACTCAAATAGGGCTAAAAAGTCAATTGGGCCGCACAGGCCATTGATGGGCCCCTGCATTGGCTAATGGGCCGTGCATGAGGCCTGGCCCAACTCAAAAAGGCTGCAGCAGACGTGGGCCAGGGCGCGGGCTTCTTTGGGCCAATCGTGGGCCGAATGCGGGATTCACAACCCGCGCTGCTGGAAAAGGGTAACTAAAAACAATTTTGGCTACAACACAAGGCTGGATTTCGAACCTTGAATGTCCAACACAAATTTTGGCACAGAAACCACTGCACCACTCAAACTTAGTCGATATTTCAATGAAAGTAAATTCTATTTAATTTACAGAAAAACCTGCTATTTGAACAGAAACAGAAATCGAACAGAGGCTGCACCACATTTGAAAAAATCTTAACATGAGCTATAACACAGGTTCGATCGAACTTCCAATTGCGATTTCACGAGATTCGAACATTTACGAGCATAACAATTTTTCCGAGTTTTGAAATCTACTTAAAAAAATGAGTTTTTTATTAGTTCGAAAAACAAAACAACACAACACGAACACGGTTCGAAACGAATGAATGACACGTCGACGACGGTAAAGCTCGAAACAAAAAAACAAGATGCCAAAATAAAACGATATAATCACAGCAACATACGATACTCGTGTAACGCCTCGTCTTTTATTAATAAAGGAAAGATACTAGCTTCCGAGTATAAGCTAGCCTTTATTAATAAATGCTCAGTATTAGTATTCGAGCCTACGTTATTCAACTAGTTAAGTTCCAAGTTCGACGTTTAGTAAACAATATCTTTGGTTGATTTTATTTATTAATCGAGTCAATTTTAATAATTAATCTCAGTCCATATATTTAATAAATGGACATTAGTGAGTTCGGGATTAATTATTCCAGTGTTGACATATTAATCAAATTTGAGAATATTCGATTAATCGTCAAAGATAAGTTTCGAGCCCAGTTAATAAGTTATTCAGATATAAGTTCGACTTTAAGTCGATATTCGATTCAGTTTAATTTATAGTCAGTAACCGAATCAGTTCCGATAATTAAATTCCGATACATTTATTTTATAAACGAATATTATTAGTCGGGATTAATTATTTTAAGTCGACGTATTATTCAAATTTGAGATATCCGGATTAATCGTCGCGGATTAATCCGCAATCAGAATCGAGAAATTTCAATCGAGTTACCGAGTTTGTATTCTTTTAGTCAAGATCAATCCATTAGTTAGCCTAAGGTTAAGATATGTTATTCCTAGAAATAATGTTCATTATTAGCCAAGCTATGATCATGCCTAGCTCGTGTGCGCGCATAAAAACCGTGTCCAAATGTCACTTGTGCATTGCCGAGCCTAGTTTTTCCTTTGATTAAGATTAAATCAAATCCTAAGTCATCACATGGTCAAATCTTTAGTATGACTATGTTTTAATAGTTTGACATCTTATATGATGAGTAATCCCCTTAAATTGCCACTAAGTTCAAGTGGAAGAAATGGCCTCTTCGTGTTATCCTCTTAACCGTGTGTGTGTATATATATATATATCTCCCTTATATCTTATATGGGAGAGTTAGACCTCTTCAAATGGCGACACGTGTCCATTTTGGTGGTGCTCAAAAGTTGACACGTGTTCTTTTGTGGACCAAAATGTCCTTCATATTTTCTACTAATTACAACTTTGCCATGGAGTATTTTTATTGTTAATTAAATGGGCAGCATTGTCGGTTGTCAATTCCCTCTTTTCGTGTGGAGCATTTTTTGTTGACTGCTACAAAATTCCCTCACACGCAACCATCGCGTCAAAGATGAAATCAAATGTTGTTCGACCGACTTTCTTTTTCTCCTCTCACTTTTATCTACCCAAACCCATCATCCACTCGCAAATCGATCAGCCTCCTCCACCGCTCTGTCTAACACGCTCAGCCGCAAGTTCTCTCCATCGGCATCGCAACTGACCGGCTGAGCAAGGAGCTACCCACTGCCCCTGGCGCCGATGAGCGGCGCGGTTTCGCTGTAAGTCTGCCACCACAGGAAGGCAGTCGGCTTATCATTTGTCCGCGTCTATTTCCAAATCCAGATCAAGATCGGTCCCCGAACCCAAAACCGGTAAACTGCCCATGTCATCTGTCTCAGATTACTCATCCCCTGATTATATTTTTTTTTTCTTACTTCATTTTCTGTGGATGAAATCATACCCATACGAGGAAACCATGTGAGAATATAAATCCATTTCATTTCTGTAGTTATTAAGCATCGATGAAGGTCTTGAAAAAAAACATATTTAATGCAACACATGTACATCCCTTCTTCGCGATAAAATGAATTTGCTTTGTGTGGATTGGATAGTGAGTTACCGATTTCTTGACATGTTAGGGGTGAAAGAGAATGGACTAGAACATGTGAAAATCATAAGACGGTTCTGTCAAAACACGTAATGTCCACTTCATAGCACTTTGAGTTGTGCTTCTCTCCCGCTTCCATGACATTTTATGAATTCTTATTAACTTTGTCTTAATTGTTTTCTTCTGTATTTTGTCTTTTAGTATTACAATTTTAAAATTAAAATGTCGGATGCAACGGATGCTTATAAGAAAAGGAAAATATGTTACTTATATAGGCCATTGAAATGAATGGTAGCAATATATACTGTATACTTCTGTTTATACAACGAACTTGGATAATCTAATCCTAATTAAACATGGAAAACGACAACTAGAGAAGAAAAAATTGTAGATATATTGACTCTTTCTTTAGCTTATATATCTTCTTTTCTTTGTTTTTCCTTCAGCTTCTGGTAAAGCAGCTTCCAAAGAGCTGGAGAGAATCGATCATCTTTTCTATTCATATGCTGACAATTCCACTGGTATGATCGAGTAAGTGTTGTCCATTTTACAATGATTCATACTCCTGTTTACGTTATTTTGTCCTCATGCTATTTATGTTCTATGCTTGGCAGTGGACTCAAGTTTCACAGCACTATATATTTACCTTAAATTTCCATTTTGCTCTTGAATTTAAGTGAAGAAAACTTAAAATGGCATTGTTACATTAATTAGTCATCGATAAATTTCTACTCCTGGTCTCTTGGTAAAGCTTTGCTGAAAAGAAATTGAAGTTGGTTGATATTTTGTTTGGAAAAAGTATGCTTAATTAGTTTCACTTCTTTCTTTCTTTCTTCTAAAAAAACAAAAGAAAATTAAGCATGTAATTACTGAACCGTACTACAGTTGCTACTTGTCGTCTGATACTGTCCTTTCTATCCTATCCTCTTTTTTTTCTGGCCATCTGTTTATTCCTTCTCTTTTTTATGATATTTTGGAAATGGAAAGTGCAATTTAATACAAGATCACAGGGAAAACTATTTTCCTCTTAAGTTTCATTTAAGGCGGAATTAGTTTAGTTATTTGGTTAGTGGTGAAAGCATTTCTGTTCTGGCTACTCAAGTCCTACCTTTATGGAATTTGGTTTTTACACAACATGACTTAGCCATTAATGTTATTAAGTCCATAGATGGCTGCTAAATCATTTTCATTGAATTACATATTGATTGATAGTCACTGTTACGGTAATTATTCGTACATTAGTTTTACGGTAATTTGTTGAGCAGTCCAGAAGGAATTGAGTCCATCTGCTCAGATTTGAATGTTGATCACACGGATGTCCGATTGTTAATGCTTGCTTGGTGAGTCAGTTTTTCATTTTCCTTATCAACAATTGATATAAACACATGTATGTATGTATTCGGTGTTGGAAAGTAACTATGACGATTTTTTGGTTACTAGGAAAATGCAAGCAGAGAGACAAGGTTACTTCACCCTGGTAAGAGTGTATTATGAATCTTGTATTGACTTTTTTTGTTAATTATTTTATTAATTTTGTATTAAGAGTACTTGCTCTATTCAAATCTGCTTTGTATCTTTAATGTCTTTAAATTGTAATTTGATGAATCTAATGTTACAGTTCTCGTTCATGTAGATTGAAAAATCTTTGTCATTTGGAAAAAGGAAAAGTAAATGAAAATGGATTGTCCTCTCTCATTGGTAGGGTAAAGCGGTGTTTGTAAACACTTGAAGAACAATACTATTGTAAATTGTTAGTAAAAAGAAATGTTAATACTGTTTCAAATGCTTTCGAATTCTCTTTGTTCTTCTGGGAGAGTTTTGATGTCCATTTCCATTTCGAAGTAGATCTAATTATTAGACAACATATAACTTTTTTTTTTTTCCTTTTTTGTTTCTTAAATCAGGACTTTATGCAAGCATTTCTTGAGTCTTGACTTTGGTACAATTTAACATGCACATGAATTCTGCATCTGGCACTCTTTCAGAGAATAGAATCTGCAATTTTAATTTTATCAATGAATATTAGGCAATTATTTTTTTATGATAAACGGGTCATGAAGTACTGTGAGGTTTTGATTTTAATTGGTTCCCAACAAATTTTCATCTCAATTTTGTCTTGTCTGTATTGTTCTGCCCTCTTTTTTGCTTATGCAAGCATGTCTTTATGAAGAACTTATGCATGTTTAATTATTTAAACTCATGAACTGTATTGTTAGGATGAGTGGCGAACTAGCCTTAAAGCACTTAGAGCTGATACGATACCGAAATTAAAGAAGTCTCTCGTGGATCTGGAGAAAGAGGTGAAGTTGTTTATGACTTTCTTCTACATTCCAAAATTGGAATAAAGAGTTCCACAGTTTTTTTGCAATTGGATTAGTAGTGTTTTTTAATTGATTTTCTCCTATTTTTTGTGTGAATAGGTCCGAAGGCCATCCAACTTTGTCGACTTCTACTCCTATGCTTTCAGATATTGCTTGACTGGTACCTTTGATAGACCCGTCATGACTAATTTTGGGTTACTTCTGAAAGTGGTTTTGCGATTCAGTCTGATTGCACGAGAAACCTTACTGCTTTTCAAAATTACTTATGCCCACTCCTTATATGCTACAATTTGTACCCTGGATGGGTGATTTTTGTGATATATTGTAATACCTTAAAGGGTTGGCTGTTGATAGTGTCATGTTCAACAATATTCTTAAATTGTTTTGTGATTTGGTAGTTGGTTGCTTGGGGAAATGTTGGTTCATTTTCAACTTTCTTAAAAGTTTATACTTTTGCTTTTGTTCAGGCATTGAAGAAAGGGTTGTTGCTAGAATTCCAGAAAGACCCGAAGAGGTTGCTGGTAGCTGTTGTCGAGAAACCAGATGGCAAGAAGATTTGGATAGTTACAGATCATGTAACTTCTTATGTTTACATTTTAAGCACTCTCAAGTTTTGGTCTGTGCTTTCTGTATTTTGGAAACATGACATGTTAAGCCACAACAAATTACTTTCATTGTTCATGGTGTCGAGAAGTTAGACCAAACAGAGATATCGATCTTTGTTTAGAAAGCTAAAGATAATTTGGTCTGTTGTCCTTGCAGTTCTAAATTCATGGACAATTGCCAATAGTGAATAATGTTTTATTAGCCACCTATTTCACAAGTAACCACACTTATCACATTTTCGCACCAACATAGGTTATTTCAACAACAAAATAGTTGTAACACAATGCAACTTTAAAACACATATTATCAGTATTAATAAAATGTGCGTATGTGTATTTTTACACCGGGAGTTAGACCGCCGTGCGTGCACGGCGTAAACCCATCTAGTATATATATATAACTAGTACATAATGAATTACGTGCGATATTTAATTAATATTTATAAGTTAAAATTTCTCATTAAATAATATTTATAAATTAAAAGCAAGGAAGCAATATTTAATACAATGTACCTATATTAGTTTATTGAAAATTATATAAAATGTCAATATTTTTTATGTCCGAAAACCGACACCAACTGAATAACATAAAAGGCATTCAACTAAAATAAAAAATCGACCGAGTCAGATAAAACCAAACCGAAATCATTTCGGTCAATTTTTACAATTTTAGTCAAATTATAGACACCTCTACTTGGGAGTGAAGTCCGGCCGATATTTTAGTGGCAAATGCCAATTGCCTCACAATACTCATTTTCTACTACTTAATACGTTTTTTGTTTTGTTGGATTTTTTGATTTGGTTTGGTTAATTTTAAAAAAAGATAGTATGGTTAATTGTTATTGGATATATTAAAATAATATAATATTAAAATAACAAAAAATTTGATGTGATGGTTAGTTAAAATAATGAGAGTGAATGAATAGTGAATTAAGGTTGAGGTGGTGTGTATGAATGATTGATTGATATTATTTAATTATATTAATAATTCTAATGATAGTGAGGTTGAGTTAAAAAAAATGATTGAGTTAAAATGTTACTTTTTTTTAGATTTCTTGTACACAAATCTAATGTTTTGTTCTCTTTCTTTTTCTTTTTTGTTAAAAATAAAAGAAACCACCAGGGGTTGGCTCAAGTGGTAAGCAGCTTGATGTCGCTTAAGCAAGGTCTCGAGTTCGAGTCATTGTGGATGCAGAAAACCCTTGTTGGAAGACTCAACCACCACTGCCAGGTGTGCGACCCATGTCGACCAACCGATTGTCGGAGCATAGCTCTGGATACCGTGACTGGCTAAAAAAAAAAAAAAATGGCCAGCAGTTGCCGTCACTTAGAGCACCAACAATGCTTTGAGTCTCTTAGAAAAAAATCACATGCCATGTAGGAAATAAACCTAGTGTATAAAAAAATATTTCACAATGCAATTAAAAGTGGACATAATCTAATTTATGTGACACTAGAAAAAAGAGACTAAGTCCACACTTGGGTCTATTGGACCCAAGTGCAAACCCACCTAGTCATTACTTGGTCACAATTTTCTTTTTCTTTTTAATAGGCAAAACACATTTTTTTTGTATGCATTTATTATTACTATATTATTATTGGTTGTTTAGTATTCTAGACCTAGTACTTTTTTGTTTTGCATTAGATAAATTTTGGACTTTTTAACTTGGATTTGTCTATGTCATTATGGACTTAGAGCACCTACAATACTTTGGGTCTCTTATAAAAAATTCACATGCCAATGCCATGGCATGTAGGAAATAGTAACTGCGTGTTGATTGTTGAAGACCTCACCTTTTTCTTACTCACTAGTCTTGTGCACCCATTACTCCAAAATCATTTTAGGGCTATGCTACATGTACAACTATAGTTGACAACATTAGTTGACAACACTAGTTATCATAATCATTGAGTTAAATTTTAGCCACACATTTATTTGTATCTCAACAATCTACATCATGACACATCATGTTGTCATAAAATGTTGTACAAAATAATTGTACAGGTAGCTTTTTTCATCATTTTACTATTTATTTGAGAGATACAGATAGATTATAGATAGATACATCACACTCACATCTAAAGATCCAATTTTTGTTTATTATTATTCTCATTATCCCTTGCTCCTCAAGAGTCTCGCAGAAAACAGAGAAACTGAAGGAGATGCGTGCAATTGGGATTTCTGGGCCCCCCCTGTTGTTAATTTTGTTACTTAGCCTCCATGAAGTTTGTTTATCCATGGTTAGTTTCTTTCTTTCAACGATCTTGTCAAATTAGTCTGTCTTACTTGAGAGAAAAAAAAAAAAGAAAAAAGAAAAAGAGAAATTGGACCTTGATGAAATTAATTACATAAGTTCATCTTGCAGGAAGACGGGTCGGGTATGTTACCAGTGATGGATCTTGGAAAGGTCAAGACGATGATAATGGTGGATGAGAGCACAAGGAAATTGAGCAGTTTTGCGGTTTGTTCTCTGTGCGTGTGTTGTGAAGGTGGTGGCCAAAACTACTGTTTGCCATCTCCATGTTGTTACACAATTAATTGCAACATACCAAACAGGCCCTTTGGCTTCTGTTCTTTCACTCCCAAGACTTGTAATTGCTTACAATGCCATATCTAGCCTCCTCATGCTCTCTCTCTCTCTCTCTCTCTCTCTCTCTCTCTCTCTCTCTCTCTCTCTATCTCACTCACTACTTTCCCCTTTATGTTAAGAGTGAGTGCTTCATTACTCATGGTTTCAAATTGTAATGATTTAAGTATGGGGGATGATGAACAATGCCATGATTGTACTGATTTGATTAAGTTTCTTACATGTTACAACTCACTTGCTATTGTTGTTGTTGTTGTTGTTGACATATTTGATTTGTGGGAATGTGAAGTGGGATCAATTTTGAATTATCTATCAATTATGTGTCCTGATGATTTGACTTAAAGAATATACCGTCACTTTAGGTTGGGGGGTGAGGTGGGGGAATTTATTTTCATCCGGAAGAAAAAAGTTGCTACTGACTGTTGATCTAACGGTGAAAAACCTGGTGAGGGCACTCGATTGAGTTTGCCCTTCATTGCAGCAGAACTTTATGGAGAAGAAGGTGGTTTTGGGCAGAGGCATGAGTGATTGTGAACGAACCATAGTTGAGAGAGACACTGTGAAAGATAGATAAATAAAGTGAGAACAGTAATAATAATACTAGTAAG